TTAAGGTGTATGTTGGTTCGTGTTCGGGTATTCTGGTTAGGGTGCTAGGGTTAGGGTGTCAGATTGTCGATTTGGGTGTCAGGGTTAGTGGATCAAGGTGTATGGGTTAGGATTAGTGTGTTAGTGTCCGGAGGTCAGGGTTGGGGTGTGAGGGTTAGGGATCGGGGGCTGCTTTTTGTGTCATCAGGGTTAGGGTCGGGGTGTTAGGGCTACGGCGCTGGGGTCAGGGTAGAGCATTAAGGATAGGTTCGGGTGGGGTTGTTAGGATGAGGGTATTCGGGATCGGGCGTGAGGGTTTTGGTATTCGGGTTAGGGCCTTCCTGTCAGATGGTCAGGGCATTAGGGCCAGGTTGTTGAGGTCTGGGTGTTAGGGTTAGGGTGAAAGGGTTTGTTTGTTAGGCTTCGGGTCAGGTTGTTCGAGTTCAGGTGTTAGGATTCGGTCATGATGTTAGGGTTAGAGTGTCAGGGTTAGGGTTAGGGCGGTAGGGTTACGGGTGGGGTGTTGAAGCTGTTAGGTTGGTAGGGTGGTAGGACCGTGTTTTAGGATTAGGGTGTTCGGGTTAAGGTGGTAGGGGTAGGGTGTTAGGGTTCGGGCGTTATGGTGTTGGGGTGTGAGGGCCTGGATGTTGGGGCCTGGGTGGTGGGGGTTAGCGTGTTAGGATTAGAGTGTTAGTGTTAGGTCCAGGGTGTCAGAGTTAGGTTTAGGGTTCGGATGTGGGTGGTAAGGTACCAGGTCTGGGGTGCTCGGGCGACGGTGTTGGGGTCAGGGTCTTAGGGTTAGGGTGTGTTGCTTCGGGTGTTAGGGTCCGGTTGCTGTGTTAGAGTTTGTGCGAATGGGCTGGGGTGCTCGGGTGAGGGTTCGGACCTGGTTTTCGAGTCTTAAGGGCGGGCGAGGGAGAGTTCCCCCCCCCCCCTCCGATCTGGAAAAAGGGGAGGGGGTCTCGGATCCGGATTGGGGAGGGGGGGTGGCGTTCCAGGACGACGGGCCGGGGGAAGGGGTGGACCGAGAGGCGATGCGGCCCCGTTCGACCGACTCCTGACCCCAATTCCTCCAAAGACTCCCACTGCTCCTCCTCTGTTCTTCCCTCGTCTCTGCCCGTGCCCTCTTCCGCCATCCTGGGAGAAGAACGGTTAGGAATGATGGGGAGGTGGGGGAGGAAGGGGGAGGGGGAGATGTGTGGGAGGTGCAGGGTGGGAGGGAGAAAGGGGGGAGCGAGTCAACAGGGAGGGGGCAATGAGAGTGAGGGGAACGTGCGGTACTCACTTCTGTTCTGCTGCCTGGGACGCACTCGGGCGTGAGATGTGTCCCGCTGCCCGTCGGCACACTCTCTGGAGGAGTATGCACCCTGTCTGGTGTGTTCACTCGCTGCATGCACTTGACCCGTGCAATCGGATAGACAAGGAGGAAGTGCGCAAAGCAAGCGTTGAAGAACTGTGCGGGGTTCTCGAGCTGCTTGTGCCTCCCCTTCCGAGCAGCGTCGCTTTAAATACATTCGCGCCCAACGGCGCCGTGCGTTTTTTTTGAATTTCAACCCTGGAGCCGCTCAACAGGTGGCGGCTGCGGATGCTTTTCGTGGGCAGCGGGCCGCTAACGAAGGCATATCATATTATGTTGCCATCACTCGGATATCATGGATCTGGCAGGTTGTCGTGGTCGCCCCTCATATGGATAACCAGGGGCATCGTGGGAACACGGAAGACTGATATCTGCGGGGGTTGATGGCCGACGTTTTTCAAATTGACAATTGTACGGATGGCACGGGGGGGGTCGAGAGACGACCTTTTGCAAGCTCAGTTCAGCGATTTTTGGGGGAATTTGGACATACAATTGCATCTGTTTCCTCTTCCAGTCCAGTGCCTGTACAAATTTGCTCAACTGTTCATTATCAGGCGTGGTTCCGTTCCTCGTCTGCGAGGGAAGGATGCATGGGGTTGGAGGCAGAGGAATAGGGATTGCCTTCGCTAGTGCTGTGCTGCCCCGAGCTCGTGCGACTGGTAGAAGTTCGCGTCACCGCTGCTGCGATTTTTTTCTCGCCTTGCCCCTCCGCTACCGCCCCCGGCGATGATCCCACGAAGCAGAAAGGCAGCATCAAGCCCCCTCGGGGGCGGTGTGGACTGGCAGTTGGGCCGCCCCTCCCGCATTGCAGCTCCCGCTTCACGGGTGGGCGAGGATCAGCTGGGAAGGGGGCGAAGGGGGTGAGTTGGAGATGAGGGACGTCAGGAGGGGGATGGGAGGAGAGAGGCCCGTTGACACTGCATATGTGAATCAAGTCCAGGGCAGAACAGCAAACCCAACGACCACGACGACGCCGACGACGACGACGACCACGGAGACGCGGCGCGCTTGCGCTCCGCACCGAAGCACGAACTTCGAAAAAGGCCCACCCTGCGAGGTTAATTATACCGTCTTCTGGTCTCCTACCCCTCCGCCCCACCTCGGCCTGATCGGGAGACCCCCGTGGATGGACGGCAGCCGACCGGCTGCCCGCCCTTTCGCCCACCATCGCCCGGCCAAGATTGCCGTGCCCGGTGGACTCTGGCCAGCTGCAGGCGCAGGGGCACCCCTTTGCGGTAGAGCGAGGCGCCCGTGCACCCGCCCTTCCCCCCCCCTTCTGGCCTCGAAGAGAAACAAATCACCATACTGAGCACTCGGCATCGTCTGGATGACTTCAGAAAACATCGATGAGCTGGAGGCCTCATCGAGCTGTGCCGTGTGAACGTTGAATCCTGCTGAGCCACGAGGGACCATGTGTCGGAGATCCGCACGGATCTCTTGGATCGGCGCTGTACCCCCCCGGCATGGTGCGCGGAGCGCGCCAGGGGCGGAGCCTCAGTGCCAGTCCAAGAAATCCGCGCGGACCTCCGAAATTTTGTGGAGGGAAGAGGAGGGAGGAGGACGTTACAGTTGGACGAGGAGGAGGAGGAGGAGGAGGAGGAGGAGGAGGAGGAGGAGGAGGAGGAGAATTGGGGTGAAGAGATTGGAGGAGGAGGCAGTTGTATGATGATGATGATGATGCTGATGATGATGGTGATGATGGTGATGGTTTAGCTAGATTCAAGACATACTTCCACAACCTACTTCTTTACATGGCGAGGAAGTCATTCGCGAAGAGCCGTTCGGGCGAAACGTTTCCTATTCGTCCACAGAAGCTTATGAAGATTTAGCCATTCACGCGTCACCTATGCACGCCATTCATGGCATGCACACATTCACGCACCCCGTTCACGAACACATTCATCTATTCACACATTCACCTGTGCACCGATCCACCCATTCACTCATTCGCCCATTTACCCATTCACCCATTCGTGCATTCACCGATTCATCTATTCACCCCCATTCGCCCATTCACCCATTCACCTGTTCACGAATTCACCCATTCACCTATGTACCCACTCACCCATTCACCCATTCACCATTCACGTATTCACCCATTCACCCATTCACAATTCACTTATCCAACCATTCACCCATTCACCTATTCACCCAAACACCCGTTCACACATTCACACATGCACACGTAAAGTATTCGTAGTATAGTATTATAGTCGAGGGTCTTGCGGAATTGGGCATTGTGCATTGTGCATTGTGCATTATGAGGAGGAAAAGGCGGAGGAGGGGGGGAGGTTGAGGAGGGCTGGCGCTCAGAGCTGATCCCCGGAAGACCCTTCCTGGGGTCCGGGCGCGCCCGAGCGTCGAGCCGGCGGAGAGCCGCGGCGACGCGGAGGGCCCCCGAAGACCAAGAAACCTCGAACCTCGATCGATCCTCGAGGAGCCTTGCTGCGAGGGGGATTGGGCCGCCCCGGGCGCGAGCAGGTAGGCCGCGCGCGCGCCCAGATGTCACCGTTGTCATCATCGTCATCGTCGTCCTCCTGCTCTCTTCCCCTTTCGCAACCATTTCCTCGTCGAATTTTCCGTCGCGCCGCCCGCGCCGCGGCGGCGAGCGCTCGCGTCGCCCAATGTGGCGGCGAGCAGGCGCTGGGGCGGGGGACTGTTGCCCTCCTCCCTCCTCCCCCTCCTCTCGTTTCCGTGGGCGGTCACCATCCTCCCGCCCCCGTGGGGTTTCCCCTTCCTCCCCCTCTTCCCGTCGGGGCTTATTCCCCCTCCTCCCTCCTCTCCCCCTCTTCCCCCATCCCCCCTTTCCTCACCCTCTCCCCCCTTCTCCCGCCTCTCCCCAACCCCCCTTTCTCTGCCTCTTCCATTTCCCCCTCCTTTTTTCCGACCTCGGAGCGTCAGGTCTTCTACCCCGTTCCTTGCGTTCTCCTCCTCCATCTCATCCCTTCCAGACCCAGGGCCCGCGCGGCCCTCGCGGCGGGCCCATTCGCGGGGCTCGCAGTGCTCCCTCACCTCGGCGTGGGGGAGAGGGGTGCTGAAGGGACGCGTAGGGAGGGGGAGGGGCAGGATGAGGGGGGAGGGGGGATGGGGGGATGGAGGAGGCCGACCAGAGTGAACCTTGGATGTGTCAACGAAGGTGGAATATTCCCGTCTGCCCCGCACCTCCCCGCATAAGTCCAGGGCCAGAGGATGCCGTGCTAAACCTGGAATGCGTCAGCGATGCTGCAATGCGCCCTTCCGCTCCATGCCCCCCTCTCATAAGTCCAGCGGCAGGGGGGCAGAGTGAAATTTAGATGCATCCAACATGCTGCAGTGCACCCTCCCACCCCATGCCCCATGCCCCTCTTAGTTAGTCCAGGCGCAGAGGATACCATATCACCACAAACAACAAACAACAAACAACAAACAACAACAAACAACAAACAACAAACAACAAACAACAACAAACAACAAACAACAAACGACAATCAACAAACAACAAGCAACTAGCAACAAACAACAAACAACAAACAACAAACAACAACGCATGGAGTCCGTGCAAGCAGTTTCGGCCCATGGCCCTGCAGCCCATCGATTCGTGAACTCATGGACGTTGACCTCGACGATCTTGTTGGGTTGGTCAACGCGGCCCTCGCGCCAGGGCGGGGCGCCGCGGCGCCTGGGCATGGCGCTGCTGCACGGGCGCCGCTGCACGGGCGCCGCTCCAGGGGCCTCGCTCAGCGGATGCGTGATGCCAAGAAGATCAAGGAGTTGGCATCAGGTCCTGTCGTGGCCGAGCACACGCTAAAGCAGATTGATCGGGTCAATAGAAATCTTGCCGTTCGAAAAAAAGATGTGATCGATTCTCGCGGCTGTCGCCGACCCCGCCGCCCTGCCCTGGCCGCCGAAGGCCCTGGCGGCTGTGCCCGCGCGCCGGGCCACACGCGTTTCCTGCCGCCATGAGGGCCTCCACCGAAGCCAGCGCCACAGGGGGCCGCGTCTCGGTCGACACCCCCTCGGCCTCTCGTCTGGGAGAGGCGGCGGACCTGCGGGCCAGGAAGCAACCGAAAGTGAAAAAGCGGGGCCAGCACAAGTGTTGGTTGCCCACTGCGTCGCTCAGATGCTGTTTCGGCCACGTGGTCCGCAGGGGCGGGCAGCGCGGCAGTCGGCGAGTCACTTATCTTGCGATGTCAGGTCATTCTGTCAGCGACGTGTTCGAGGGTGGCCACGCCCATATCCAGAATACCATGGACGCTGGAGCTCTTGCAGTGTGGAGGTTGCAACAGGAGCGCATGAGGAGCCTCCCTTTCGCACAGTTGTGCATCATCAAGATCACGTTCGACGAGACCGAGACGGTCGTGAGCATGCGGGGTTCTGGTCAGTCCGTACGTTCTCTCTTCATGCTTCACGGCGAGGTGCGCAGCTTCGAGAGGATGGACGGCCCTGGAGTGCGCCATCAGTTGATGCTTCCTCCGGCGGTGCTGTCCAACACCAAGACCGAGTGTTTCTGGAACGCCATCATGAGTCGATTGCCTGACACTCTCGCCGATATCAAGCGTCGGTGCAAGTGCATGGCTATAGTTATTGGGAGTGATTCTGCAAAATCGTGCATCAAGTTGGGGAAAGTATTCAAAGGGCGCACTGCTCTTACCGCTGGCTTGGACGGTTGCGTATCTGTGTGGGCCCCGTGCCTCATGCACATGGCCGCCTTGTGCGTGTTCTTCGCCATGAAGGTTCACGGCGTGCTCGTCCCGCTGTTCTGCGCGTGCGTGCTGATGCGCCAGAGCAAAGTTTTCCCCGCCTTCGTGGTCCGGGCGGAGCTTCAAATCGAGAAGATGGAGATCGTTTTCGAGGAGCCCGATGGAGTTGAGGTGACCCATCGCTACCTGGTTTCGTTGTTCGCTTTCCTTGAGCAAACGCGGAGCACTGCCCTGGACGAGGACGCTGGGCCGCACGTTCGCTCCCGCAGGCAAGCTGCCGCTCGCTTGTCAACATCCTTGAGCGCCTCCCTCGTCGAGAATGGGAAGATCACCAAGTTGCGTCATTATTGCACTTACGGCTGTTGCTCGTCTGAGGCTGAAGCAGTGGAAAAAGTGAAAGCAGATTTCAAGCTTGTCTTGTTTGGCGTGCCCCCCGATGTGCCCGCTTGCAACCGATGGGCGAAAGTGTATCCGCCTCTCTGCTATTGGATGGTGTTGATGGCGTTTCCCTTCACGGACCCGGCCCTCCACGAGGTGGCGCAGGTGAAGTGCGACTTGAGCGAGGCGGCCGTGTTCAACGACGCGGACGAGGTGGGCTTGGGCGAGGAGGACACCTGGCATAAGCGCTTCCGGGCGCGCTTCAGGACCCCCAGCTCAAAGTTGCCCCCCCACCCCCCCCCCTTTGCCGCCCCCCGGGGGGCTGGAGGAGGAAAGGGGGGAGGGGGGAGATGCGCGGCCCCTCTTGCCCCGCCCTGCGCCGCATCTCCCCCCGCACTTTTCCAACTCCAGCCCCGCCCTGCGCCCCGCCCTCATCGACGCCGCCATCGGCGACGACGATGACGGCGATGAAGATGATGAAGACGACGATCGCATCATCGCCCATCTTGCGCCCCCGATCCAGGAGGGTATTGCTGTGGGTGCGCACCGAGACCATGCAGAGGACGCTCGCTGTCTTGACGACGGCGCTGCGGAACATGATTGATTTGTTCGGCGTGTTTTTTTCGGAGGCGAAGTTCAGCAGTGAAGGTCGGCACAGTGCTTTCGCGTTCTGTTGCCCATCGAAGTCTCCAGCGGTGCGGTGCCTGGGGCGGTATTTCAACGACATGGCTGATATGGGCGCCTCGTGCTGGCGACCAGTCGCAGGCGCTGGCGGTTGGGGGCCCAAATCTCTTTACGAGGCTGGCACCACGAACATCATTCTGGTATGCAACCTGTGGCAGCGGGCCGTGAGGCCGTTCGATGTCTGGCCGTGGCGGCTCGGCGTCATCGTCGATGAAGCTGCGCCCGAAGCAAGGAAGATGGAAGTCGCTCGGCAGCTTTTCGCTCTGAGGGAATGTTGCGTCGAGTGCGGCATAGCTTTGCACGTCCGCAGGGTCGCTCGCACAGAGGAGAGGCTCTTGGCCAGTGAGGAGATCAAGGCCATGATCCGCGAGATCCTCAAGGCTGCCCCTTCGAACAACATCCAGAACGAGGACAGGTTCGCCCGCCGCAGAAACCACGCGGTCTCAGCCAGAGGCCACGCCTACGACGGCGCAAGCATTGCCTCGCGGCACTCATTGTCGGAGGCGACGGCGTGGCACAGCCGGGCCCACGACCAGTGTTGGAGTCAGCTGGTCAAGGATATGGAGCGGGCGAGGGCCGCGGCGCAAGCTGCGCGTGCCGGGGAGGAGGGCGACAAGTACCTGAGCGGATGGAATGCTTTCGTTGCTGCCAATGCGAGGTCTGAAGGCCACCAGGCAGTGCGGGGGCTCAGGCAGAGGTGGAATGGCCTCACTGCAGCCGAGAAAGCAGAATGGAGCAACAAGAGGAAGGCGCCCTCGGTCAACGAGGCTGAGCCCGACCTCCAGCGCCTCCGCGAGATGGTGCAGAGACTAACTCCTTGGAGCATGGGGTCCGAGGACCAGGCTTTATCGGAGGAGGAGGCCGCGCCGTTCTTCAATTGCATCAAGGCGAGGAGCCGGGAGTGGAGACAGCTGTTCGGCTCTGAGGTGCGGCCTACTGAGCAGCCTTTGCATGTCGACAATGACGTCCAGTGCTGCCAGGCGTTCGGCTTTGGCGTCTGCAAAATGGATTTGACAGCTGACGAGAAGAAGAAGTTCCAGTCGAACCTCGCCATCTGCCACGCTCTCTGCCAGTTCGGGGGCATGGCGTCCGAGCCTGGTGAGATCAAGAACTTGCCGCTCTTTCATTTGGTCCACGCAGATGATCCAGAACGATCTGTCTTGGCGCTGTTGGGCGCGACCCTGCGCAAGCCATTTGCCCAGGCTTATTTGAAATGCGAGAGAGCCCCAGGCGCCGTCGGTGATATCATTGATGAAGACCTCTCGGTATCTCTTGGCGTTGCTGCTTTCCGCTCAGAGGTTGACGTCGCCATGTTCATGCTGCAGACAGGTGGTCGGTTAGCAATCAAGTTAATTTCGTATGAGTTCACGACCCTCCGCGCCCTGTCAGTCCGGGGCGTTGTCGATATCACTGAGGCGGTTGCTGCGTGCGTGAGCTCTGTCGCCAGCGACTACGACTACATTGTGAACATGACCAAGATGCTCAAGCAGAAGCAGTTCACCTCCAGCAAGCCGAAGAAGCCCAGCAAGGGCGGCGGGGGCGGATCTGCAGCGAAGCCTGCGAAGGGCGCACCGCCCAAGGCTGGCGAGGCTGGTGGCGACGATGAGTCGTCCGGGTCAGAGGGGGAGATCCTGCCGCCCGAGGTCGACGACGTCCCGAGCTTCGTGGCCTACTGGGAGGTCAAGGGTGAGGTGGCAGACGCGCCCCCTGAGGTCCCCGAGGGGGGGCTGGAAGGGGGCGCCGAGGAGGATGGTCTCCCGAAGGTCGTGGACGTTGGCCTCAAAGATACAATTGAATTCCACGACCCAGCTGGAACGGAAGTCTACGGCCGCCAATCCATCCTTCACCCCGGCGAGCCAAAGGAGTCAATTTCTTTTTATTGCCGATTGCACTCGCACAAGATGTGCGTGACGTCTGCGAGGTGCCCGCCTCTCCTGGAGGTCCGGCGTTGGTTCAAGAACGGACTTGATTTGCCGCGCGGAGCTGCTGGCAGGGAGGCGCACCGTCAGCAGATGAGAACTTTGTGCTATGGGTGAGTTGGCGCAAAGAGATTTCGTTGTACTGAGTATTGCGAGGGCGCAATGGAGCAATGGATGTTTGGTGCGTTGCGCATTGCAGAGCCAGCCCCATCGCATCCTCGATGGCGCGGGATGGGGGAGGAGGTAGCGGGGAGGAGGACGAGGAGGAGGAGGGTATGGAAGGGCAGCAGCAGCAACGACGGCCGCGCAGCAGCAACGCCAGCAGGTGGAGGTAGAGCAGCAGAAAGAGGAGCAGGAGTAGCAGCAGCAGGTCCCTCAATCCAATCCTCCCCGAGACTGCACCGTCTCCTGCTCCTCGTCCTCCTCCCCCTCCTCCTTCTCCCCCTCCTCCTCCCCCTCCTCCTCTGGTCCCATTGGTTTGCTGCTGCTACACCGCCCGCTCCTCTACCTCCTCCCCCGCTTCCCCCTCGGAGCATTCGGGGCCCGTTTTCCGGGAAAGGGCGCCGGCCCAGGGTTCTCTTTTAGAATGGTAAAGCTGTCCCCGGTGCCTCAACTGAGGTTGGCAGGCGGATTCTTTCCTTGATAAATATCGAGGTCGAGGTGGACCGACGGATTAAACGTTGAGGATGTCTCATGCGAAACGCTCGTTTTTGAAATCCCGATCGATAAATCACAGGGCGCGGGCCACTCTTTCGCGCGTTGAGGATGTCTCAAGCGAAACGCTTGCTCAGCGGGGTTACCGAAGATGTCTCGAGCGAGCCGCTTGTTTTGTAGAACTTGAGGGATCTGGGCGCCCCGGAGATTTGCCTTTTCCAGGTGCACGAACCCGTGTGTTTTTACGTATGTGCGTATGTGCGTATGTGGTATGTGCGTATGTGGTATGTGCCTGTAGATTTGCCCTCTCCAGGTGCACGAATCCATGTTTTTACGTATGTCGTATGTCGTATGTGCGTATACGTCGTATACGCGTACGCGCGTTACGCGTATAGCGTACAGCGCGTATAGCGTACAGCACATGCCGCATACCACATACGCACATACCACATACGACATACGACATACGTATCAGCACACCTCAGCACGACCACACCCCAGCATGACCACGCCCCAGCACGACCCCACCCCAGCACGACCCCACCCCAGCACGACCAAACCGCAGCACGACCACACTCCAGCATTACCCCACCCCAACACGACCCTACCCCAGCAAGACCATCACCCAGCACGACCATACCCCAGCACGACCTCACCACAGCACGACCACACCCCAGCACGACCACGCCCCAGCACGACCACGCCGCAGCATGACCACGCCCCAGCACGACCACCCCCCAGCACGACTACCCCCCCAGCACGACCACCCCCCAGCACGACCGCCCCCCGTCACGACCACACCCCAGCACGACCACTCCCCAGCACGACCACACCGCCTTGGTTGAGTGCATGCCTGTCGTCGTGGACTGTTTCGCGGGGTGTCTCGTGGAATGTTTCCAGGACAACGTTGAAAACGGTCGCCCGTGTCTCGTGGAACGTTTCGCGGGTTGTCTCGTGGAAGTGCCCGTCGCCCAATACGGTATCGTGAAAACGTTTCCACGCATGCGGTTCTACGGGTCCATCATGTTTTTTTACGCCCGCCACTGCGCGGTTCCGGACCCCGGAGGCCCCCGGAGGTCTCCGGGGGCTCGCGCGGGCCTTGAGAGGCCCGAAACGTTCAGAAACTCTTCCCTCGATCCTCGAGCGACGGCGGCAAAGTGAAATGGGCAATGGGCGAGGTGGGGTGGCCCGTGGAAGCTGGAGCTGGAGTTCGACATCAGCCCGGTGGAGCTGCCCGTCGGACGCCTGGGGGGGGGCGGAAGATGTGGGGAGGGGGGGCGGGGGGGCGGGCGACGGAGATGACGGAGGAGACGGAGAGAGATGGAGACAGATAGGGATTGAGAGGAGGTGCCTCGGAGGTGCAAGGAAGGATGACGGCCATGCGGAGACGTGGAGCGGGGCTGGGAGGGCGGGAGGGAAGGGGGGCAGGGATGACCAGAGGAGGTTGGGCTAGGTTGATACCAGGGAGAAGGAGGATGAGGGCGAGGGGGAGGAGGAGGAGGAGGAGGAGGAGGAGGAGGAGGAAGAGGGCAACAACGACGACGACGAGTGGGAGTGGGGCGACGACGACGACGACGACGACGACGACGACGACGAGTGGGAATAGGGCGACGACGACGACGACAACGACGGCGGCGGCGACGACGGCGGCGGCAATGACGACGGCAGCGGCGGCGACGACGACCGCGATCGCGACCGAGACAACGGCCGCGACCGCGACGACAAGGACGACGACGACGGGGACAACGATGACGCTGACTGGCTGATTGACTGACAGCCTCATGCCCGCCGCGCGCGGCGAGGGCGAGGGCGTCGCCATCGCGCCGAGGCCCGGCCGTGCCCCCTCCCCCATCATCTCTTCCCTCCCCTCACTGCCCCCCCCTTCCCTCACCTCCTCTCCCCCCTCCCCTCCACCCTTCCTCTGCCCCGCCTCCTCCTCCTCCTCTTCATTTTTGTCTTCCCTCTCCCTCATCCCCCCGTCGTTTCTCCCGCCTCCTCCTCCTCCACCTCCTCGCCCGTCCTTCTCACCTCTCCCCCGATCCTGAACGCCGCTGTCCTCGCCCTAGCCTCCGCAGAGTCAAGGCCCCCCATCGCCCCACGAACTCTGGAAGAGTCTGGGCGCTCCGCGCGCCCCCGCCAGCTCATCCAGAAACGGCGCCCAGCGACTGCGCTGATCGGCGAAGCTTTGGGCCAGCCGGAGCAGGGCCCTGAGTGCGCCGCATCGTTGACCGTTTAGGGCACGAAGGCCGAGTAGGAGCATGAGAACTAAATCAATCAGTAAATAAGAAAAACGTGTATGATTACCATCTTATTAAGTATGTATTCAGTATTAAGTATTACAGTAGTATTACGTATAACGTATAACGTATAACGTATAACCGTATAACGTCGTATAACGTATAACGTATAACGTATATATAACGTTTCACGTATGAAGTACGACATATTACATCTTACATCATTCACCACTAATAAATAGTAACTTCATATCACAAATCAAATATTACATATTTCATATTTTATGTTTTATAGTTCATGTTTACTATATAATATATCATAGCTGACATCGTGTATTATATATCACAAATTTCAAATTTCATATTACATATTACATATTACATATTACATTTTACATCTTACAATATACATTGTACGTGTCACATATTACATATTTCATATTTCATTTTACAGAATACATTTTACATGCTACATATTACAACATGAAACATTATACATAATAGCTAACACATAATACACAATACACAATACATAATACATAATACATAATACATAATACCATAATACCATAATACATAATACATTCTACCATGACACATAATACATAATCCATAATACATAATACATAATACAATGTAAATGATACCAATTACATGTTACACATTACCTACCGCCTATTACCTATCACTTACCACGCGTTACAACATAAATTATACCGTATGCGACGTACAAGGTACAACAACCACTACACACTAACATCTATCTTAAATTGAATATCTAAAAAGGTATGTATCATATATCATACATAACATATATCATCCAACATATAACAGCTTCTGTTATACATTCTTAGATTATTATTTCAGTTTTTGTCATGTAGCATTTCTACGATATTATATCTTATAACGTATATTATATATCAGCTATATTCACAACGTACAGTCGACAATGTACAAATTACAATGAAAAAAAAAAACGTATAGAGAAAACATAATACAATAATCCAGTATCCAACATCAGATATCCAATATCCAATGCCCCAGTACTCCAGTACTCCAGTTTGTGCAATGTGTGCCCCATTTGTCAAATAAGACGTAGCGCAAATCATATATTCCATACTCATATCTCATATCTCATATTTGATATTTGATATTTGATATTTGATATTTGATATTTGCATATTCCATATTCGATATTCGATATTCGCATATTCCATATTCGCATACTTGCATATTCGCTTTTCGCATGTTCGCATTTTGCAGATTCGCTACTTGTTGTTGTTAAGGGTACGGGCTTTAGGGGTCTTTGAGCGCGCGTAGGTTGCGTCGGACACCCCGCGCCCTACTGAGGAACGGTTTCTCCATTCTGTATGCTTTGCATCGGTTGCGCCGCTGGTCGCGCCGGACACCCCGCGCCCCACCGAAGTGCGATTTCCCCGTTCTGTCTACCTTCGAAAGCGGAGAGAGGCACCCCACGCCCCGCCGATTGCGACTCCACCGCCCTGAGTGCCTTCCATGATTGTGCCATGGGTGGTGCCAGACACCCCGCGCCCCACTGAATTGCGGTTTCCCCACGGTGCCCTTCTTGCGCTAGGTTGCGCCATTGGTTGCGCCAGACACCCCGCGCGCCAGAACTGCAATTGCCCCGCCGTGTCTACCTTCCCTAGCTTACGCAATGGGCTGCGCCATAAGTCGCGCCAGCCACCTGGCGCCCCTCGGAATTGCGACTTTTGGGTCGCGCCACGAGACGATCTGCGATGTGTGATATGTTTCACTTGGGTCGCGCCACGAGAAGCGCGGCGAATGGGTTATGGGCCGCGCCACCAGACGGGCGGCGATGTGCATTTTGAAATTCAAATTTCATGTGGCATGCGTGCCGCGCCTCGAGAAGTGCGGCCCAATGTGTTATGTTTCGTATTTCGTATATCGTATATCGGACACATGATATAGGATATAGGATATAGGATATAGAATATAGAATATAGAGATGTAGAAATATGAATTATGAAATATAAATGTTGGATTTTTGATATATGAATTATGTATGATATATTATATGATACGTGCTATATGAAATATGAGATATGATATTTGAGATATGATATATGATATGATATATGATATATGCATATGTGCATATGTGCATATGTGCATATGTGCATACATGCATATATCATATATGCATATATGACAAATACCATATGATATCTGACATATATAGGATAAGCGGATAAGCGATAACTGATATATGATATATGGTATATGGTAGATGCATGTTTCATATTGCATATGGTGAATGATATATGATAGATGGTATATGATATATGATATTATAGATGATTTGTGATATATGATACGGTATACTATAAAAAATATATTATATATTAAAATATTCAGTTAGAACCATGACTATATTAGAGGATAAAATGATACATAATGTAGAACTATAGAACTTATCATATAGATACATGATATATGATGTAGGACATAGGGTATAAGATATGGGACATAGGGGCGTATGACATATGATGTATGATATATGAAGTAAATGGTAGGTGGGCTTAAGGCCAACACCCAGGACGACAGTCGGGAGCCAGCTTCCGCGGGGCTTGGAGACGGAAGGGCGCCACGCGCGCGCGTGGCCCCCACGCCGGCCCCGCAGGCCGTGAGTCGGCGGTATAGGGAGTATGGTTTAGGAGTGTAAAATATGTGAATCGGATATACGATATAGGATATAGGATAGAGGTGATATAGGTGATATAGGTGATATAGGATATATGATATAGGATATGGGATATAGGATATAGGTATAGGGTATAGGGTATAGGGTAGAAGGTATAGGGTATAGGGTATAGGATATTTGATATATGATGAAGGACATAGGGGAGTATAGGGTACAGCGTATAGCGGTATAGGGTAGAAGGTACAGGGTATCAGGTCAGGGCGTATGGGGTATAGAGTATAGGAGTATAGAGTATAGGAGTATAGAGTATAGGAGTATAGGAGTATAGGAGTACAGGGTATAGGGTTTAGGGTTCAGGGTATATTATAGGGTACAGAGTATAGGGTATGGGGTATAGGCTATAGCGAATCCCTCGTCGCGCGGGCCAGTCTGCCAGCCGGCAACGCTTGCCGCGGCTTTTCGTCCCCCGCCGCGACCGCGGCCGCGACGGTGACGGTGATGGCGAAGGGCGATGTTGATGGTTGATGGCGATTGCTACGATCATGCATGATGGTGATGATTTATGGCGACGACGACGAGGGCAATGGCGACGCCGGCGACGAGGGCAATTGCGCGCGCCTGATCGGGACAGGAACAGGATACTGGCCATCCGGGCGGCCGCCGACGAAGGCCCGATGGTGTTCGATCTTTCCGAAGAGTTCTTGGCGCAGCAGATCAGTGGGGTGCGCGTGGACGCGCGGACGCCAGATCTGCGCTCAGGGACGCCCGCGGGCGCCTCGCGGGCACCGCCATTGCTGGCCGCGCACTGGGATCAGTGCGCGCGGCGCCAGTCGCGCGCGCCTGGGCGGCGGATTGTCCAGCGGGGTCAAAGTATTGGGCTTCCCCGATGCTCGTGCACTTCGCGCGCGCCAGGATCGGGCCTGCGTTCAAGGGTGGCTACAAGCGGCGGCGCGCCCGCGGCCTGCGCCCAAGGTGGATTCCCAGCGCGCCTACGGGCATGCCATGGGATCAAGAGGGCCCGTGGCGGATTGCGCGGGACGGACCGCGTTCTTTAATGCCGCAGAACTGGCAGCGGATAGACGCGGCAAGGCAGTTCAAAATCGGGCTTCGCAGCGTCCGCAGTTGGCCGCGGGCGGCGCGGGCCGACGCAGTTCGGCGCCGCGGGAACAACCGCCCAGCGTTCTGGCGCCAGTGGCAGAGCGCGCGACGACGCGCTTGCCGCCTCGGCCAGCGGCCGGCGGCGGCAGCGTCGCGGGCGCCTCGGCCATCAGCGGCCGTGCGCGGCCGGACTCGGGCGCATGGTGGATCGCAAAACGGGCGCGGGGAAGACGCTTTTGATGCTCCGTTCGTTGGGCAACTTCTACTTTGAGGAGCGCGCCGAGATCCCTTTTCTTGCCCACAGACGCCGTGGCCAACAGTGTGTACATGGACCTGATACCTGATTATATAGCTTTTCGGGCATCGGCGTTTCTTCGCGCGCGCGGTGCTTCCTTGGGCAGCCCCGCTTGCGTGCGCCCCAAGCTTTTTCCCGCTCCGCAGACGCGGCCGGGGGGGTGCGGGGCGCCGCGGGGGGGCGATCCCGGAAGTTGCGAGCCGCGCCAGGCGGCCTTGCCATGGCCGCGGTGCCGCGGCGGCGTGGACCTCTTCAGCCCAGCGCCGCGGCGGCGGAGGCAGCGGCGTCGCGCGGGACTTCGCCGGGGTCGCCCGCGGAAGGCGGCGGCGGGAGTCACAAGCGCGCAAAGGCCCGCGAGGCCGACAGGTGCCGAGAAGTTCAAGGTGGCGCAAGCTGGCCCTCGCGAGCGGGCACCCGGGCGCGATCGCTGGCCCTGGTTAGTGCGATAGCGGGAAGCTTTGGGGGGGAACGGAGGATGGGGGAGGAGGGCGGGGGGATGGGGGAGGAGGAGGAGGAAAGCAGGATGGGGGAGGGGGAAGAGGAGGGATGGGCGGAGGGGGAGGAGGAGGAGGAGGAATAGGAATAGGAACAGAAATCGGAAGAGGAGGGAGAGGAGTACGTCTTGGATCCATACATGGGCGGCGTAGCCCAGCGGCAGCGCGCGCGGGCGCGCGGGGGCGCCCGAGCGCGATTCTTTCTGCAGGCCGTTTGGTGCATGGGCGCCCGTGGGGCCAGGTGTACCTCCGCAGCGGCAGCGGCGCGTCGCGTCGGGTGGAGGAATGCATTCCGCTGTCTTTCGGCGCTGGACAGCGAGCGCCAGTTCGTAGATGAGTGCATGGGCTTGCCGCGCGGGTGGGGAAATGCACCCCGCAATTTTTCGGCGCTGGACAGCGAGCGCCAGTGCGCGGAGGAGTGCGCGGGCTTGCGGCGCACTGGGCGGCGCGCGCATGCATTGCAAGGCAGGGGGCAGACGTCGTAATTTCGCGCCTGAGCGCACGGGGCGGAGATGGCTTCAAGCGCACGGGGGCTGTTCAGGAAGCGCGAGGAGGGAGCGGGGATTGCCTTCCGGCCGCCGAGCAACGAATTCAGATCACCGCAGCCAATCGCGCCCGGAGTCTGCGACCCAGCGCCACATGGCGTTCGCGCGTTCGGACGCGAGTTCTGATGGCGCGCGAGTTCCGCGCGGGCGCCGAACAGCGTGGCGGACCTGTGGCAGATTTGCCCGATCATCGGGGGCGCGGGCCGCTGGCTCCGACGCGGCCGCATCGCGCGGTGGCAATTCAAAATGGTTGGCCATCGCACGCGCCGCGGCCCGTGCCAGTCGCGCGATCAACCGCGGGAATTGGGGCGCTTCCGCGGAGAAGGGCGAACCCTTCGACAGAGTCGTCGCGCCCGTCGACGAGTTCCACTGCGCGGCCAAGGGCCCGAGGGCAGCGGGCGTGGAGGGCGAGGCGCCCACCCGCCAGCCGCGCCCTTGCGGGCGCGCCGCTTCGCGATTGCTGGAGGTCGCGCCGCGCAGATTCAGGATGGCGCTGGCGCGCCGCCAGTCCGAGGTCGCCCCCCCGCATCCGGCGTGGAACGCAAAACAATTGCGGAACTCGTGGCGCGCAGCGGTGGCGGGGGCCGCGCAGGCAACGGCGGCGCCTTCGCGCCGCGCTCGGTAGGGCGACCGCCCTACTGGAGGGCCAGGCGAGGGGGGCGCCGCAGCGCCGCGCGCGCGGCGCGGCCGCGCATGTCCTTCGTTCGAGCAGGGCGCGCTGGGGGGGAGGGGGAGGGGAGGGGGCATTCGCGCGCGGTGATGCGGGGGCGCGAGCGGCGCAGCGGCGAATGTCGAATGTTAGGGATTTCGGACGTCCAATGGCTTGTGGGTTTGAGTTTTCTGGTTCTGCCATCTCGATTATTGAGTTCGGATGAGTGGTCTTCTGTATGGTTCACTCATGAACTAGTAATTCGTGCATTTGGATATGATGTAGTATACATTATAGCTTGGATATCGAATGTCGAGTATTGAGTGTTGAATATTAAGCTGTTGGTATATGATAGATGGTATATTATATATATTTTAATATTATATTATATATATTATATATGATATGTTATATATCATATATATGATATATATGATATGGTGTATGATCTATGATATATGTTTTACGATATACTATATATTGAATATTGAATATTGGATATGGGAATATGTAATATTGTAAGTTTAGATATTGGTATATGGTATATTGGTATATGGTATATAGTACATAGTACATAGGTATATGGTATATTGGTATATTATATATTATCTATTATATATTAGCTGATATGCACTAAATATTATATATTATTGAATCATGTTTCACGGTTTGGGATTAGTGGTACAAGAATGAATGTTCGAGCGCCGTAGATTGAGTTAGTGAGTTAGTGGGTTTTACGTAAAAGGCAGTGGGTCTTCAAGCGCAAAGCTTAAAGCTACATGGAAAACTGTGCAATGCTTATTTTGGACTGACGATTTGATATCTGATGATTTGGGCGATTCATCACTGATTAACCTTGTTAGGATCGTTTACGACGGGGGTGCTCGGTGGATCGCCGCCCCCTCCCCCTGGGGTCGTTCGGTTCCTCCGCCTTGGCCTCTGCGTAGGGTTTATTTGTTTTTCTCGGTCTTGCTCCCTGGGGCCATCCCGCGCGGGGCGTTCATGCACCGTTTTTCGCGCGCCGTGGATGGCGGCGGGGGAGAAGGGGGGGGGGTGGGGGAACATTTTTTTTTTCGGGCCCTCTCGCCCCGTCGGGGGCCCCTCTGAGCCCGCGTAGAACATCTCGCGAGGGCGGTCCCCATTCCAATGGGATGTCGCCCGGTCCCCCGCTTTCTTCGACATTCCACCTCGTCCTTCCCCTGGCCGCAGGTGGGCGGTGTGGGGCGTGGGTGGGTGGGTTTCAAAGTAGTGTTAAGCTCTGATAAATGCAGTGTGCATTCTGTATGGATACTATCCCAGACCCCGATCGCCTATATACAGTGTACAATCTACCATATCCAGCATAACGTATACAACCTACCATGTACAATATACAATATTACACTATGCAATATGCAATATATGATATACAATATACAAAACTCAATATTCAATATCCAGTATTCAATATTCAATATCCAACATCCAATATGCATTCATTAGTTGCTATTCCTCATTCATTATTTGTTATTCCATGACTTCCTTCTATGGCCAAACGTCCACTGCCCGATGCCCTTGTGTTTTCCTTTGGGATATTGGGATAAGGGATATGAGCTATGGGCTATGGGGATATTGGGATATGGGATATGGGATATGGGCATATGGGCATATGGCACATGGACACATGGACATATGGATACGGCACATGGGTGACACGGGTGATATGCGGTAGGGGGTCCGGGTAGAGGGCGAACGGTGCATGGTAAAGGGTATAGGGTATAGGGCATAAGGTGTAAGGTATATGGTATATGGGTCATAGGGTATGCATAGGACATTCTATATGATATATTCTATATTATACGTTGGGGGGTTTGGGATTGTCCACAATGGAAAAGCCGACGCTTAATTCCACAAGCTGATTGACAATTTTCCGTGGCTCGCTAAGGAGGCCGAGCGGTGACGCGTGTCACCCGCGCGCGCGTTGGGGAGTTCTGTGTTGATATAGTATAAGGTTGTATAGTGTTATAGGGTGAAGTGTATAGTTGTATAGTTGTATAATGTATAGTGTACACCGTATTGTGTATAGTCATGTAATATACCCTGATATTATAGAATAAAATTTTATGCATTCTACATTATAAATAGGAAATACAAATTTGAATTTTTTTAACTGTACTTATAACATATATGACATAAGTTGTACGTTTATATATTGTACTTTGTATTTTATATTCAGTAGTTACATAACATATATCACATAACACGTAACACATATGCCATATAACATATCGCACATAACATGTAACATTTAATATGTGATATATGATACAGTTGTAAATTATAACATATTGATTATATGGTATTACACGATGCCATATAGGAGAAACAATCTCAAATGAATAATGAGCGTGCAGAACTTCATGGGTGTATGACGTATTGGGTATACGGTGTGCGGGTATCCGGTATACGGTATAACGTATCATATGTAAGGGGGTGAGGGTACCGGGTATACGATGTATGATACAGGATATGATTTGGGACATATGTTATATGCGTGCATTATGTACGATAGATGGTAGATGATATATGCATGCATGATCTATGATAAATGATTTCTGTATGCATAAGATATTGGATATTTGCATATACCATATATGATATATGAATATGCGAATATGCGTATATCGTATATCATTTATCATATATGATATTTGATATACGATATATGATATATGATATATGATATATGCATATATCATGTATCATATTACATATATGATATATGATATATGATATATGCATATATCAAATATGGACATGCTGTATGACATATAATACATGATATATGATATATGCAGCTTGCATATATCGTATGATATATGGTGTATGATATATGATATATGCATGTATCATATATGTATATATGTATATATGATATATGCATATATCATATATCATATATCATATATCATATACGCAT